GTAAAGAATTTCCTCCTTATATCCAGTCTAAACCTACCCCGTTTTAGTTTAAAACCATTACCCCTGTTTCCTGGTATCCCTGCGTGTTCCCAAGCTAATTGGAATTCCAAGGTCACTCCCAAGAAATTGGGAGAGTGCTTCCCCCTTCCCACAATCAGAACACGTTGGAAAAACACCGTCAGGCCTACCTGACTGCGCAAAATGCTGCTCAACGCGTGCAAATACCTTAGGTGAGCCGGTTAGCACCCCGCAAACCATGGGGCGCCCGTGTACCCCCCCTGGGTGCGCAGGTCTGGCGCTCACCCTTCCTTTCAGGTGGGTGCTGGCAGCGAACAAAACACTGCTCAACGCGTGCAAATACCTTGGGTGAGCCGCTTAGCACCCCGCAAACCATGGGGCACCCGTGTACCCCCCTGGGTGTGCAGGTCTGGCACTCACCCTTCCTTTCAGGTGGGTGCTGGCAGCGAGGCGGAGCTGCTGCCTTCCCCAGGCCCCAGGTGCCACCATGGCTGGCCGGCCGGCTGGCCGCCTGGCCCCACAGGACTCCCCGTCCGACCGCCTGCTAGCCATTTATGTGTGGGGAGGGTGTAAGCGGTGGTGAGGCTGCAGTGGTAAAGGTTTGCCTTTAAAGAGGTGCACTGGTGTTACAGAGCTTGCCAGTCCTCGGGAGGTGATTAATGGCTTTGCAGATGTACCTAGTTGCATTGGCACAACTGCCAGAACCTGTATTTCTCCCCTAGTTTTGGTGGGGGTTTTTTTTGGTTTTTGGGTTGTTTTTTTTTTATGGCTCTTATACTAAGCTTCAGTCTGCTTAAATCAAAGGGATAATTCTCTTCTATGATCCAAGGCCTGGATCAGCACTGCAGTAGTTTTATGAATGTCAGTGTGCATTGGTCTAGGAAAGTTTCTGGTCCTGGCGTTTTGTAAGGAAGCTTTTCTTTTTTCCCCTGGGGAAAGCAGGGCTGTTTGCCATGGTACAAAACTTCTGCTTACCCTTTGCTACCATCGCTGATGAAGCCTTTCACTGCAATATGGGCTGTAGAGAAGGGTTGTCTAATTCTTTCCCAGGCGGTTGCAAAAGGCATTATTGGGACAGTAATGGGAGGATGAG